AAAGTCCATCTGCAACAATTGCATCACCGATTTTTTTAAACTTTTTTTTCTTTCATAACTAATTGGGACTAGTTTTCATGATTTTCTAAAATAAAATTTTAGCAAGCCCTTTTTCGAGATATAAATTTTTCAAAATTTCAGAATTTTAATGTCTTTATTTTTGAACGCTCATAACTAATTTAAATAAGTGATTCTTTCATTTATAAAATTGTAAATAATATTAAAAAATTAATAATAATTTTTAAAAAAATTTTATTTGATTAAATATCAAAGTCTTGACGTAAGGAATACGATTTTATTATATATCACCTTAAATTTTAATATTTAAAATTTTTTTCAATTAAAAAAATTTTTTTTGAAAAAAGACGATAAAATCTTTTTTGTGGTGGTATTTTTTAATATCCTCTCGTCCATTTTGAGATATAAGTGTGATAAATAAGCCTACCAAATTTTACCTAAATGCAATAAAACCTGTTAAAGTTATCGTGTTCACAAAAAAGGGGTCCTCATATACACATAAACACATACATACATCTGGACAATTGATCAGGATCTCATATAAAATGTTTCTATATAGAAAAAAATTTGTTTTCACCATTTTGAAATTTTTATAAACGAAAGGACTACAAAGCTTCCTCCACGTGTAAGCAAAAATTATTTGTTAAAACAATTTAACATAATATTTGTTGCAAATTTAATTCTATATTTTATTTTATTTATAAGATTTAAATTAATAACTACTAAGAGAAGGTAACAAATTTATAAAATTGTGCTACGTTCTATGTGTATTTAAAAAAGGTATAAATTATGAACAATAAATTGTTTAAACAAATAAAAATTCAACAAAATATTTTTAAAATATATTATTTAGCAATATATATGTATTAGACTAGGTAACTATAATTTATTGAACTAATTATATGAACAAATAAGTATAATTATAATGAAATGAAAAGTACACTGAAATAGCAATTATCTCAAGGTTACGAAAAATTTAAGCATTCGAATATATCTGAGGCACTAACGTTGAGGTTTAGGTGGAAGAAAGTGAGAGAAGGAATGTAACCGTCCAATGGTTCAACTCTTTCTCCCACCTTTAGGTGCTCAACGTCCATGCCTCAGATATACTCAAATGGTTTTTTTTCAAAACCTTGAAAAAATTGCTAATTCAGTGTACTTTTCATTTCATTATAATTGTACGCAAATGAGAAGTGCGAAAAAATGTGTATATATTTTTGATACAAAAAACAAAGTTTTTACAATTCCACACAGAAAATTCAAATAATAGCTATATTAAATTTCATTGGATTCCATCACACATTGAGCTTCGAGGAAATGAGAAAGCAGACCGATTTGCAAAAGATGCTACAATGTCAGTACATTATAATTGCATAAAAATTCCCTTCACTGACTTTTTTGAATCTTTTAAAAAACATCTTTTTTACGAACGAAATATTTTATTTTAGATCAAGGGCTTAATAAAGGTGAATTCTACTTTCAAAATTATTATTCAGATAGGCGAAAACCATGGTTTCATGGTAAACTCCTTACTAGAAAATATATAGTTTCAAGAAATCGTTCCAGAGCTGATCATTACAATTTGGCCAGCTCTTTAGCTCGGATAGGTATCATTGGAATGTAACATGATTTTCTTAATGCAATTTACAGATGTAACTTTAACAACTTACCCCACAAAAATCCTCCTCTGTATAATTCACCCTAAAATAGTATTACAAATTTTAAAATATTTTAATTTAATGGTGCTTAAATTTATTGATATTTTAAATAGCCTTATGTTATGTAATGTGATTCTTATTCGTCATTATCTTGACATAATTCTTATATGGTTTGAAAGACATTTAATGTAAGAATTTTTTATTACCTCCTAACAGCAACGGACTTTTAATAATATCCTATGGACGTCCTACCCGCATCCGGAAATTTGTATATCTCTAGGATGTCCTCAAGATATCTACGGATATACCTGAGACATCCTAGGAATGTTAAACTTTCCGGTCATCCCCAGGACATTCCTAAGATATCTTGAATATCCAAATGGTAATGGGGGATCACACGTTAAGTGATCAAGGTTCAAAAATTTTTTTCTTCAAACATGCTTACACTCGATGAAGTTGTAGTTCTCATAAATGTTAATTTTTGGTAAAAATATTTTTTCATTTAGATTATAGATCCGTATTTTCCGAGGGGGGGAGGTCAAAGTTTTAGGATTTTACAGTACACTGCAAGTTTTAATAATTTTTAGGGTTTTGTAGCCCAGGGCCGAAAGCCTTATAGTTTCGTTTTGGCGTTCGTCCGTCCGTCGTACATGGTAACCGCTTCCATGGCAACAGTTACTATGGCAACAGTTACTTATTATGTCAAAAGTTACTAACTATGATAATAGTTAGCATAGCAAAAGTTACTATGGCAATAGTTGATTTCTATAGCAACCGTTGCTATGACAGTGGTCAATATTACCATGAGGTGGAAATTTTTTTAATATTTAAATTATAAACATAGATGGATTCATTCGTTTCTAAAAAAAAAATTTCTTAAGCAATATATTTATTATATTCCAAAATTTTTAGTCTTACTTTGCTTCTTTTTCCTTAATTAGTTTAATAAAAAAAATATTACTTACTTTTACAGATGAAAATAAGTTTTTTCTTCTTACAATCAGTTGAATACTACCGAACATTAAATAAATGCACACTTTTTTTATTAATAATTATTAAACTGAATAAAATTATTTCTAACTAATTATCAAGTAAAAATATTAAAAATGAATTGGACATGCGCTATCTATGTAAACCAATAAGAAAATCATTTTCCTTTTTGTTTGTATATTGGAGTAGAGAGAAGGGAGAATTTAAAAATTTTATTGGTTTACACTTCTGTCTCTCTCTCTCTTACTTTTGTCTCTTGTGTTCACACCATAAAGGAGGGCTAAATATCCCACTCTTCAAATGTGAGCTGACAAAATGGTTTACGCTTCCCCCCCCCTCTCTCTCTCTCTCTCTCTCTCTCTCATATCCCACTCTTCAAATGTGGTTAGAAAGAATTTTATATGCAGAACATGCGGGACAGACAGCCACTTGAAATTATTATATGTAATTTATAATTATTTACAATTATATCGATTCGTTTTAATGGAAGGAACACAATTATTTTATATTTAAACATGAATTTAAATAAATATAAAACTTTTCAGCTAAAATGTGTATTTTCTATTTTTTAACTTTCAATAATTTATTAAACTTACCTCAAATGTAAATTTTATATAAACCAATAAATTCGTTTTCATGTAAGAAATACAATTATTTCATCTATAAACTTAAATTTAAATAATCACAAAATTTTTATAGCCAAAATGTGAATTTTTGATTTATTAACTTTCATTAATTCTTTAAATTTAAATTAAAAGTATACTTTATATATACTGATCGATTTGTCTTGACGTAAGGAATACGATTTTATTATATATAACCTCAAGTTTTTCTAATTAAAAATTTTTGGAAAAAAGACGATAAAATTTTTTTAGGGGTATTTTTTATAATGCTTTGGTCAAATTTGAGATATTAATATGATAAATGAGCCTACCAAATTTTATCTAAATCCATTAAAACCTGTTAAAGTTATCGTCTAATCAAAAAAGGGATCCATACACACACACACATATATACATATACATACGTACAATTGATCAGGATCTCATATAACATGTTTCTATATAGAGAAAAATTTGTTTTCGACGCTTTGAAAATTTTTACAAACGAAAGGACTAGAAAGCTTCCTCTACGAGCAAGCAAAATTATAAAAAAAATAATTTTTTTTTAAATTTATAATTTTAAACGGATGTCTATTTCCTCCCCTTTGTGTAGCCGTTTGATTTATTGAAATCGGTCCATTCGTTTACGAGAAACAAGCATTTGTTTAAAAAATGACAAAAAAATCATTTTGCAATAACTTCTGTAAAAAAACAACTTTTTTGGGTTGGTAGAAACATTTCTGTGGTCTAATAGAACTGTTTTGTCTATATTTCGATTTAAAAAAAATATTTTTTGTTTTCTGTGCTGATTTCACGAATTCTGACCCATTTACGAAACTCAAAGATCGATTCTCCTAGCGAAATTGAGGAAAATAAAGATATTTCCACCTCTCAATGTAGAAATGTTTATAGCGAATTCAAATAATGCGGAGTGTAATCATATATTTTATTTTTTAAACAAAGGTAATCTAAATATTTAATCAAATGTACGCTTTATATAAACCTCTATTGAGGTTTCAAATTGCTTTTAATAAAAAAAAGAGGCACGTGTAAAAAATTGAATCCTTGAAAAAATATCAGTTTGCCGAACAATAATAAAAAATTATCATTTAACAACTCTGAATATAAAAAATTAATAAAATTTAGTTTAAGTAACGGGCACCATGAAATAGTTCTAAAACAAATTTTTTAGATTTATCATTTGATAAAATCTTAAATTATGCAATATTAGTTTTATTGAATATTAAATTGTTTAAATATTAATTTTTCAGAATTTGTATTAAACTGATTTTCAATATTGTAGAAATTTTAATTCGAACAAAATTAATTTGCCAAAAATTAAATTAATATTCTTTCTGGAAAATTAAAATTCCTACTAAATTGTTACCGAGGCGAGATGGCGAGTATATGATCTTTCATATGCATTTATCACGAAAACCTTTAGAAAAAATTTTTCTACAGTTATAAAATATCAAAAAATACTCTAAAAACTGAATTTTTTTTTAATTTTCAAAGTCAAATTTCTCGAAAACCTTGGGCTTTAAAACAATTCTTATTACGAATTCGTGTTCAGTGTCAAAAACCCTATAAGGATCACCCTATGTGGTTCCAGAAATAAAATAGTAAATAATAAAAATAGTAATAATAAATAATATATCTTTTTTCATAAAATTTTATTTTTTTCATAATCTATGATACTTAAAATTCGATACATGTGTAAGTAAAATATAGGTATTGTCGTTTATTTCTGATATAAGCTCTAGAGACCACGAATGTTTAAAAAATATTGTACAAAAAATTTCAATTGTTAATAACTATTTTCATTTCAATTTTTTTTTGAAAATTCTTTTACGATATAAATTGTAACAATCTACACTATTCGAAAATATTTTGAATTTTGTTTTCTACAAGTGTTGGTGACATAGGGGTTTCAATATTATTGAGATCACACTTGGTAAGATAATATTCATTATTTTTAAAATAGAAATATAGGATGTCACAATTATAAAATGTTACATTCTAATAAAAAGAAAAGACCTCATTTGAATCAAAGTGAGGAAAATATTCTATTAAATCAACAGAATTTTCGAAAAAAAAGTATAAAAATAATACTGTTTCAAAAGAATATACTATATAATTTATATGTTTTGCAAATTTTATAGCATTTAAAATGAATAATTTTTATGCCATATTTGAATGCATGTTTGAACCCATTAAGGTATATATGATGTATTCCACGCCAAATTCAAAGTCTATCTGCAACAATTGTATCACAGATTTTTTAAAACTTTTAAACATTTTTTTCTTTTATAACTAATTGGAACTAGTTTTCATGATTTTCTAAATTAAAATTTTAGTAAGCCCTTTTTCGAGATATAAATTTTTCAAAATTTCACAATTTTAATGTCTTTATTTTTGAACGCTCATAACTTTTTTAAAAAAAAGGAAAATTGAAATTTTTTTTTAATGATTTTCTTGTAAGATAGGGTTATTTCGCTCATTGCGGATAAATTCGCTCACCAAGTTATAGGCTTCAAAGTAGTTTTAAAATAAAATTTGATACTCTTATTACCAAGTTAAAATGTTGAATTTAATCATAGAAGATGAAAAATTTAATTTAGCGAAATTATACGCGATAAGCGAAATAACCATGTTTTACGGTACTATTAAATTTTTTAATTTTAAAGATAAAAAGTCATTTTTCTCAATTGACGTACTGATCGATATTTTTAAAAAAATTTTAAAAAACTACTTTTTTTAACAAAAATTTTAAGCCTATTCTGATCGTAGGCAAAAAAAATTTTCAATATTTTTGGAATTTTTTAAAAATATCTATACGATGTTTTTTTATACTACGTAATTTTGTGTATTTTAATATGCGCTATTTACGAAAATAATTGTGACAATAACTGAAAATTTGATTTTTATGCTGAAAACCATGAAATAGTACTATTTATGGTTTTTTTTCGTTTATTGGTTAGAATATGCAAAATTAAAAAAATATCTTTTAGTCAAAAGTTGTAGATCATATTAACATAAATTTTTTATATTTTATGAATTTTTTGAAAATTTTTCATATTTTACCCAATAAGCGAAAAAAACCATAAATTTTAGGACTTTTTTGTGGTTTTTACCATAAAAGTCAAATTTTCGGCTATTGTCACTTCATAATCAGCGTATGAAAATACATAAAAGTACATACTGTAAAAACAAAATACTAAAACAGTACCAATTTTAGGTATCAAAATAGAACCAAATGACAATTTAGTACCTAAAGTCGGTATTAAATTAATACCTTTCCTTTTACAGTGTATATAGTATAAAAATAATCGAAGACATTTTAAAAAATTTAAAATAGCAAAAAGTTTTAAAAATTCCAAAAATATTGAAAAAATTATTTGCTTACGAATGGAATAGGCTTAAAATATTTTTAAATGAAAGTAGGAAAGACCGGGGCTGCAAGTGCCGAATTTGAGAAAACTAAATAAAATGCTAGTAAACTGAGAACTTTTTGTTTTAAACTATAGTCTATCTATTATAAAATTTAATATGTGACAGTCCCCGAGAGAAGGGACCTTAGCTCACCAGAGGTCAATATTGAGTTTTATATGGTAAATGATAGATTTTGAATTGCTTTTTCACATGCAAAAGTCAAAAACTGATTAGGATAATTGCTTTTGACACAATAACATTTTGAAGATGGGTATGTCAAGCGCATTTCGAGGCGGATTGTGGCACTCAAGAAATCAGCCCCACTACTTTACTTACACAACTATACTCTCGTACGTGAGCTTCGCGTACGTGAGACCCGAAGATACACGAAGTAGACGAAGCTCACGTATACAGAAACACAACGTTGTGTTAGTGTGGTGGGGGAACTTTTCAGAAGTTCCGCCCCACTCTTCGAGTTCCGCGTTTCTGCTTTTTCTTCAAACGCTTGCCCTGTGAAATTCGTTTTGGTGAGCTAAGGTCCCTTCTCTCGGGGACTGTCACATATATAGCTTTTAAATCCATTATTTTTTATTTATAATTTTGAAAAGTTTTTTTGTAAAAAATGATTTTGTGCAGCGAGGCAACACGGCACGTTGAACTCCGCGCTGCAGAGAGTTGTGCCGACGCCGAGGTCGGTTGTGCCGTTCAGATTTTTTAGTTGTTTCAGTTAAAGCAAATGATTTTATGCGTAATAAATAAAATAATTATTGCCAATATATAATTTACTATTATTTACTAATCATTTGTTATATACTTTGAAAGGAACAATCTTAAGATTTCTAGATTTTAGTAAGTACAAATAAACATTTTCTCAGTTATATTCTATAATTGCATAGTTAGTCAGTCACTGAAAACATATAGTTCTCGTAATAAGTATTTTTATTATAAACATTCAAAGGATTTTTCCAACAATCGTAACATTTATAGATTTTTGTAAATAAATAAACATTTCTGACTTAAATTTTACAATTACATAATTAGTCAGTCTTTTAAAATATTTTTTGAAACAATTATTTGTATCGTTAATTAATTGTAAAAACTCTACTTTCTGATTAATAAATAATTTTTAAAACGTGAATACTTATTCCGAATGCGATTTATTGAAATCACAATTGACACATATTTAACTGACCCTGTTTTTACCCTTCACATATTTTAAATGTGCCCAGTTTTTGCAAACTATGCATTGAATCAAATATTCGAACAAACGAGGCAATAGTAGATTATGGTTATGTAGCGATTGACAGCGGCACAACCAGCCCCAAGCGAAAGGCACAATTAACCTCGTTGCGTCGACGCTCACTTTTTATCAAATATTAAAAAACTAGATAAATTAAATATTAGGTTTCATACACTATTAAATCCGTCGATAAATTTGGATCATTTAAAAAAAAATACGTATCGATATCTTTAAAAATGAAAAAAATAAACCAAAAAGTGTACACATGAAAACTTGCACGTAAGTGACGCCAAAGCACCAAAATACTAACAGCTAATTATTCCGTGAAGCAAACAAAATCAAAACAGTTGCCAAAGATGCGCATAAGTAAAACAATACTTCTCTCACTTCCACTGTAAAAAAAAAATTTGTTTTTGAGATATTCCTATCGGCACAATTTACCCCCGTCACTTTCAGCCCCAGTCTCCCCTAGTTATTTTGAAAAAATTTCAAAAAAAAATCGATGGATATTACTATATATAAATTTTTTTAATCCAAAAAAAGCTAATATTTTTAATAAAATTTAATGTTAAAAATTTTAAAGCAATAAAGAGGCACGTGTAAAAAATTGAATCCTTGAAAAAATATCAGTTTGCGAACAATAATAAAAAATTATCATTTAACAACTCTGAATATAAAAAAAATTAATAAAATTTAGTTTGATAAACGGGACCATGAAAAAGTTCTAAAACAAATTTTTTAGATTTATCATTTGATAAAATCTTAAATTATGCAATATTAGTTTTGTTGAATATGAAATTGGTTAAATATTAATTTTGTAGAATTTGTATTAAACTGATTTTCAATGAAGTAGAAATTTTAATAGAAACAAAATTAATTTGCCAAAAATTAAATTAATATTCTTTCTTGGAAATTAAAATTCTTTTAAATTACCTACTATTCTTCAAAATTAATATTCTACAATACAGTGTTTCCCACAAATTAAGATTTGATCAAATTTAATTTCTGTCAAATTAATTTTCGTCTAAATATAATTTCTGCAACATTGATAATCGGTTTAATAAAAATGCTACAAAATTAATATTTAAACAATTTAATGTTCTGCAAAATTAATATTCTACAGAATGAGAATCTATCAAATGATAATTCTAAAAAATTTGTTTTAGAACTTTTTCATGGGGCCCGATACTCAAACTAAATTTTATTAATTTTTTATATTCAGAGTTGTAAAATGGTAATTTTTTATTATTGTTGGACAAACCGATTTTTTTCAAGGATTAAATTTTTTAAACGTGCCTCTTTATTGCTTTAAAAATTTTAACATTTATTAAATTTTTTTTGGGTGTACTTCCGAAAAGGTCCCCCCTTTAAATTTAATAAAACACGGGTATTCTTACGTATTTTGGTGCATAGATTACCAAAATCATAGTGAAAATTGGCGCAAATTTGATTATCATGGTAAAAACCATAAAAAAAACCCATAAAATAATGGTTTTTTACGATTAACTCGTAAAAAACAAAAAATTTCGAAAAAAGTTTTAGACAAAAGTTGTAGATCTCAAAAAAACACACATTTTATGTTTTATGCATTTTTTACCAAAAGTCATTATTTTTCGAGAAAAATCCAAAAAACGAAAAACACCATGATAATGAAAACATATACAGCAGTCATGGTTAGACATATTATTTGACTCGTATATAGTATCATATTCACCATTAGTCAGGATCTAACGAATTCCGCAAAATACTTTCGGCCATATCCACCCCCTCTCGCCAAGGTTTTTTTTTAAAAAGAAAAGCGAGCAGTACCTTACGCGGCCGAAGGCCTTGTTTACTATTTTGCATTTACCGCTGCTGTAGACTTCACTCCACAATTTCCGCAAATTACTTTCGGACCATTTTTCTCGAAAAATAATGACTTTTGGTAAAAAATGCATGAAACATAAAATGTGTGTTTTTTTGAGATCTACAACATTTGTCTAAAACTTTTTTCGAAATTTTTTGTTTTTTACGAGATAATCGTAAAAAACCATTATTTTATGGGGTTTTTTATGGTTTTTACCATGATAATCAAATTTGCGCCAATTTTCACTACGATTTTCGTAATCTACGCACCAAAATACGTAAGAATACCTATGTTTTATTAAATTTAAAGGGGGGACCTTTTCGGAAGTATATCCTTTTTTTTAAATGTTAGTTTTTTAGGATTATAAAAATTGTTATAGGGTCAGTTGGGGTAAATGGGGATACGAGCTATTGGAGCATAATTTACAGTTTTAAAA